TATAATATCGAATCTTTAGCACGTCAAAATCTATATATATATATAAAATTCAATTGCTGTTCGTTAGTCTCGCTAAAACACAAAAACGGCTGAACGGAATTATCTTATCTGGGTCTTGAAATGTTCGTGGAGGGAAGGTTTAATAGGTGAGAAAAATTCAAATAATTGTCGGGAACTAATTAAGTTTTTTAATTCCGTGCGGACGAAGTCACGGGCGACAGCTAGTCTCATAATTTTTACAAACTTGACCACGATCCCACGATGTGTTGTGCAGTGACATCTAGTGACGTAAATCAAAGTTGTTTACGAGATTCACCAATAGATGGCGTTGCGCGACGTTGTTTAGTTTATGCAAAAATAATAATATTTTCCGCGACTAATGGACAGTACACATTCGAAATAGAAATAGAATATTAGAAAATGGATTATCCTTATTTATAAACCTAAAAAAAAATATGAACCTAATTATTCCTTACTTCCTTATTAGTCCGTACGTAATATTTATAAATACAATAGTAACACAATCCAATTTTCCCGTCAAAACAGCTAAACCGATTTAAATGATATTTGGTATGAGTCTAGAACCTGGGAAAGGTCGTAGTAGTACAAAACATTAACTCATCAGACAGAAGCATATTTTCCTTTCGACCTATCGGCCCATTGTAAAAGTGACATAAGCTGTTTTGTGTTAAATCACTTTAGTACGATAGATGGCGCTGTACGATTTTTCAACATAGTATCGTTTTGTTTATCAACTGATAGGAGTTTAAAAATATAACTAACTAGTGCTATCTAGTCTGAAATTTGACATAGATGGAGTATTTTTGACATAACGTTCCGTAAATGGAACTAAATAAAACTGACGAATTTATTTTAATTATTAACGTGATTTACTGATTCCATGATTGTTATTACGAGCTATCCATAGCTGTCGGCTTTGTCAACTCTCTAGAGTTGACAAAGCTGACAGCTATGGATATTGAATAGTATTGTATAAATCAGCATTTTGTCTACAAAATGCTGATTTATACAATACTAGATGTCGCCCGCAACTCCATTGGCACGGATTAAAATAAATATCATTAGCAGCGTGTGTTATTCCAGACTATGTTCTATATGTATGATAAATTTCATCGTGAGCCGTTCTGGAGATACCCTAAAACATATAAACATTCGCATTTATAACATTAGTAAAAATTAATTAGCAAGATAAATAAAACTAATAATAAATATTTTACTTCTATCCTGCGAACTTATAAACTTCACTCCCATAATCTACATATTTTCTTTAAATTCGTACACAAAAAAAAAGAAGTCATCTTAATAAAGAAGCAACGTGACGTGCCATCTGTAAGTCGCTTTGTGTTGTATCACATTTAGTACAATAGATGGCGCTGTACGATTTTTCAACATAGTATCGTTTTGTTTATCAATGTGATAAAAGTATAAAAAACATTGATGCCTTGTAGAACACTATCTGAAATGAAATTTGACATAGATGTAGTATTTTTGGAAAAACGTTCCGTAAAAGGAACTAATAATAATTTGAAAAGTTAAACAAATATCAAGAATATTTGGTATTAGGAGGTCGTTGTTGGTTTTGGAATCAACGAAACAAAATGGCCGTTCCGTTAAATTTGCTTTTTTCAACTATTTGTGTTAACTAATTATTTATATATTCAAACGTAGCAAAATAGACGACCAGTGATAACGTTTTGCGTTGAATTTAACTAGTTAAATGAAAAACGGTCAACGGTTGGAACGTTGAATCAACGGTTAATTCAATTAGTTCGCTAAAATAACGCCCATCTCTTACTGCAATTTTGTAATCTTACTAAATGTGAATGGTTAGATGGTTGTTTGTTTGAAGGTATCTTCAGAACGGCTGCATGGATCTCGATGGAATTTGTCATACATATAAAACATAATCGGGAAGAACACATAGGGTAATTATATTTTTTTTATTTCCGCGCGAAAGGAGTCGCGGTCGATAGCTAGCTAGCATATTCATTTCAAAAGATGGCGGGGCACGATTTAACTTCAAAGTATCGTTTGTTTTGTATCAAAATGATAAAATATTAACGAATCTACATCGACTTCGGTTACTGAGTTCCATACGAACTCAGCTAAATTATTTCGTATTGTTTCGATTGGTAAAAGTGACGACAAGCATCGTGTGATCAAAAGTCAATTAATTTGGTAGTGATATTTTAATAAATGTAATTCTAATTTCTAAAAAAACAATTACACAAATTCGAAAACTTCGAACTTGGGATGCACTTCGTCGTGTTCTTCGAACTTATATTGACTACAAAATATTTCATTAATTTTGTACTCTGCTATAAACTAAGTTACATAGTTTTTGTGTACTATAAACCTACGACTTATTAATTTTTAAAAGTTAATAACCATAACAAAATTTTAATAACCTAAAAATAATTAAATCATAAACCAAAGTATGCTTTTTCCAACACTGGCAATATTTTTTATAACCTTCAATTTTGTAACATCAAAGAGTTTCTATATGAAGCTACCGGAAATAAAAGAAAACTTTTCGAATGACAGCCATTTGAAATTTGAACACGTAAAAAAAAGATGCGCGAGCACAGATGATATATGTAAAAGTAATAACGTTATAGTCTGTGGTATAAGAATGGTGGATGGTGAAACACAACATAAAGATTTTGAGAATTCGTGCTATTTATTTATGAGTAATATGTGCAAGTATCCTGGACAAGGTAACCTATTAAATATACTCAATGTATAAAATATAACGTACCTTTCGTATTCCATCGCTTGCTGAATATGTTTACTCCGAGAATCGTGTAAGCGAAGAAAAAATGTACAACACAATAATAATACACAGAACACAGCCAACACAGGCATATTTTTATTTTAACGATAATCAAATCTCAAACTTCCGTGCAACTGAAACGACACTACTATTTTATTCGCGCAACTTACGAACGCACCAAAACACATAGTCGCTCAAGCCCGCGAAACAGACCTATAGACATTTTTATTTAGTGTAGGTATTTACTCAGATATTGCTGGTATTATTCATCTTGTCTATATTTATACTATACTTATATAAATATCACGACGTATGTTCTAATCTACACAACAACCCAAATACAACACCACAACTCACAACCGCAACTCAGAAGTCTAATAATCTTTAGTAACTAACACATGAAAACAACTCACAATTTCCAGACACTATTTATAAACTCACTAGTTAGATTATAAGCTTAAACTTTTGTATAATTTGAATCTTCTAATTCTTTACTTGCAGAATTTTATATTGTCTCGAGCGGTACTTGTGAAAAACATTTTGATTCGCGCAGAAACAGCGCCAACCAATTGTTGCCAGTTAAAAATATAACACAAAATATTACAGGTTTGTGTTGAATTATTTATTAAATATTTCATTATTTTGTTAATTTATAGTATCATAATTGTATGTAAAACAGTCGAAAAATATTAAATTAAAATTCACTAGAACTTTAATTGCATAATTTTCATATTCCCTAGAATAACTGGCCATTAAGAAAAGTAACAAAATCTTGTTCACAGACGTAATAAAATAACATTCATTTGAACATATCTATGATTTTGTCAATGATTATAATAACTACAGAACATCTACTTTATTCTTCGGCTGTAAATGTAATCCATTTTGCAGATAATAAACAAAGTCTACGATCTTCAAAGTTCAGCACTTTATACGATATAGATTCGGCATTTGATTACCATCCATGCCCCTTATCGTGTCCTGAAACTTACGCCCCTGTCTGTGTGAGTGTCAACAGAGGATTTGGCAAATATTTCAAGTTCTACACATTTGTAAACCATTGTTCCGGTGATTTGTATTACTGTAAACATTGGCAGGGTATGTGTAAACTGTTTTGCGTCCCACATTTTGAAAATAACTAGTAATTAATTAAACAAGACAGTAATCTCGATTGACTTACCTTATACGTCTAGGCGCTCAGAAAAGACGAATTTGTATTCTTCTCAAAGTGCTTTGACGAAGCATACTTCAAAATCGTTATATAAATATATACTTATCCTCGTGATACTTTATGTTAACCAGACCGTACATAATTTTTTTAACCTAGAATTTAGTCCACCGCCAAATGAAGATGAAAATGTCGTAAGTTCTAACCTCGGCTGGTCGTTTTGTGGTTCGTCTAGGTAAGTAGACGATAAATAATTATTTACTTAAGTACAATGATTTTTTAAATTTAATTATCTCCTGTCTCTGTCACCAATAGATACCTACAGTTCGCGCGCTTCTCAGAGGTTACATCATCTATGGGACACTACGGATGGTTGGCGGGAAATTACAAGTATGCAAAAACTATTTTTGACTTTTAAATTTCCAATAGATATAGTTTTTTGTATGAAAAGTAGCATTTATTTCAGATATTCTCATATAATGGAACCACACGAGAGAATGAAAGGATATGGAAAATGAATTACGACGAGTTGAAATACAATTACGATGTTTAAATTTATTGAATGAAATGTGTTTTATTTCAATTAGCAATTTATTTACTGACATTTTGAGAGGTATGAATAAGGACTTATCCTTGTACTTAAATATTGTGCATATTAACAAATTAGACATATTATTTTTATTTGCTTTGAATTATATAGTATCGTCGCTGTCGCCTACGATTCCGTCCACGCGGTATTATTAACTAAATAAGAAGCCTACGTGTTCTTTTAGACTATGTTCTATATCTAGGCCAAATTTCAACGAGATCCATTCAAACAAACATCCATCCATCTAAACAATCGCATTTATAATATTAGTAAGATTAGGTTATAATCTGAAAGCAGTCAATATCCCAACAGTTCTATAGTATTATAGGTATGGGGTACTACTGGGATGCACCCAAAGTTTTTTTTTTATTTTTAATCTTCATTTCCTACATTTAAAAAAATTGAATACAATACAAACCTCATTTTATATTTCAAATAATACAAAAAAAAATTGTCAATTTAATATACCATGTTTTTTTAAAACCCTAACATCTATAATAGTTTCGTCGACATATTGATTTGGATGGTGAATTAAATGCAGAAGAATCTTTGGTCTACTCTTAGATGACCAACCGCACAAAGCACAAGTGAAGGCGTCTTCTTGATATCTTGTTTTCCTTTCTTCACCGTGTATACTAGCTTTGTGGTGCAACATCGCACTTTTAGATTGAGCTATAAAGCCACATCGCATACATTCCATGTCTTTATCATCTTTTAACTCAGCAACGGAAGCCTCCATATCATGTGTACGCATGTGATTGATAAGTGAACGAGAATGTCTAGCTATGAAATCACATTGTGTGCACTTTAACGGGTTGTTAGGACGATGTATTAATTCATGTTTCTTTGTATTCTTCTTAGAAACACTTCGGTACGGACATTTCGAACATTTGTATGGTTTTATACCTTAAACAAAAAACAAGATTCATTAGTTTGAACGGATGGCTACAGAAGAGAGGTTGCAGAAGAGTAATAGTATATATTGTTTTTTGTAGCATACAAGCAAGCCTCCACCTGAATTAAGCGAAACGGCCACGGATGGTGGAGGAAATTCATAGCAAGAGAATATTGCCCCTAGCTTTGTGTCCCCTCCACCATCAAATCTACTTCACTTTCCTATCATTTCCTTAAATATAAAGGGTGGAAAGGGTAAGAGAACTAAAAATATGCACCACACTTATCAGACTGTGCAAAATTACTTTCATTTGATGCCTTTCTTCTGTGTGTTGTTACCGTCACCTAACACTGTAAAATTTATGTTTGACTAGCTGTCATCCGCGACTCCGTCCGCGCGTAATTAAAAAAACTTGATTAGTAGCCTATGTGTACTTCCAGACTGTTCATCTATGCCAAATTTTAGCATCCATGCAACCATTCTGGTACCTTTAAACAAACATCCATCTTCTCATTCTCGTTTATAATATAAGTCAGATGATGTTTTTTACCTTGATGGACTCTTAAATGTTCTTCATATACTGTGCTATTGTATGTACTATATTCACACATACAACATTGAAATGGATTTTCTCCTCGGTGGACTTTTTTTATGTGTCGATGAAGTTTATCTTGCGTCTCCGCTGTGTATCTATTGCATTCCGGACAACGGAATCTACGGCTTTGAACATTAAGATATACATCATTGTATTTTCTGAAATCAGAATCAGAATAGTAGTTTTTGTAAATTAAATTTACTTTTTAATTAAGTAGGTTTGGTTTGAAGACTTTATTGCTAAATCTTCAAGAGTGTTTTAAAATTGGAAACTTACCTTGATTCTTTAGTTTTGATATCGGAATTCAATTCTTCGGTATGATCAACAAAATCCACAAATATCTCTGCTGGTTCGTCGTCACCCACATCGATAAAAATTGGACCATCATGTAAATCTGACATTTTTTAATATAAAGCTCAAGTTTTATTCAATTTATTAAGAATTTGATAATATGACCATGATTTCTGTTTGTTTACATATCAAAACTATCAAATCACAGAGAAATTAATCTTGCGATCTTCATTGACGTTAGAGACAAAGAGCAAAAGAAAATGGCGCGCGCGACCACAGATAAACTATAGCGGGAACCATAGAGACGAAATGTTAAAATTGTTACCATAAAAAAAACTTGTGTATAAATAGATTTATACCAAACTTAAATTACTTATCACTTACGGGAAGATGACAAAATTATAAATTTAACACAAATGAAAGTATTTATTTTATTTAAAAATATTTCTTTTATTACATACCAAACATGTTCTTATATTAATTACAAACATAACTTTTCATTATCGACAAAAGAAAAATGGTCGAAGTAAAGATGCTTACATACAAAGAACTGTGTTTTATTCACGACCAAAATATCTAAGCGTCTTTATTACAAGAATAAACATGCCAACCTTTTTATTATTAAGCCAAATATTGGACAAAGAAAAATGAATTTTGACCACTTATAATTATTATCAATTGATTTGATTATAAAGTCATTAACAAAATTATTTTTTTATTTAGTTTTCGAAGATCAAACAGAGTTGCCATATAAACTTTTTTATATGGTAGAAAAAAATGGTAGATTTTTACATTATTAGGATAGTAACATTTGTGAAATTATAATAATTGATATTTAACATTTGAAAAACTTATTTGGCACTTTTTTTTAGGCAAATCACTAATAATTTTAAACAAAAAAAACTAAAAATATACTGAATCTTGTCGTTTTAATGCCTAATAAGTCAAATTCTACAGATGACGGCCATTACATTTACTTTTTTTAGGTTATTTGATGTGAAATTGTGGAGTATAGCAAATTTTATATAGTATGTAAGATTTATACCAGATATATTTTGGAATTTACGAATTTTAACATAAAGTGTAGTTTATCAATGGTTATTGGAATTCGATATTGTGATTTTTGCTTACAAAATTTAACTAGAATAATAAAAATTCACATTAAAACTACAAATCCGTTGATTTTGATAAGATTTTGTTTCTAACACAAAGATAAATTATCACGCTCTAACAACGAGCGGATGTCGGACTCCGTTGAGATGAAATCGGCGAATCGATACACAATTCTGAAGCTTGTTCCGCCAAATCTGTTGTTATCTGTAGAAAAATTAATCAAAACCAGTCATAAATCTTCATACGAACGGGAATTCTTTGAACTTAACATTAGAATAATAAATAAATAAAAAAATTCTACTTTAAAATGTCTGATTCCTATTTCTTGTATAAAATATTAGCTGATTTTGTAAATTTACTAACATTTCTTGTACTATTCCAACTAGAGCTTAGTTAGGACATGGTTAAGAATAGTCGAGATACCAATAACCATTAGCCTTTTGACGCTTTGAACACCATTTTAATACTTTATTTTCTACCACTTGGTTGTAATTGGTAGAAATCGGTAGATTATGGTAGAAATCGAAGAAATTTTTGGTAGTACCTTATACTGGGCCTGCACAGTGCAGTCAGGCGGCAGATGTAACGCCCGCAATAACGCAGCAAGGTGCCTCGGTGGCTGACCTCCAGCAAGCGCGAGCTGTACCAACCGTCCACCCATCTCAGCACGCGCGGCCGCCTGTCTGCCATTCCTGAGTACACATTACACATTAAAAAAAACTTTGATATTTGTAGTAGTCGTTATAAATAGACTTGCTAATATTATAAATGCGAATATTTTGATGAATGGATGGATGGATAGATGTATGTTTATTCGAATCTTGAAATTTGTCATAGATGTAGAACATAGTCTGGAAGAACTCATAGGATACCAAGTTTTTTTTTAATTTCACGGATGAAGTCAAGTACAATACGTCAGAATTTTTTGTATAATTATATCTTTCATTTCAGTCCAGTGACTCTGCGCTGGATGAAAAGTATTAAAATGTAAACATTGTAGACTGGAATAACATAGTAACGATAATTAGTAACAGTTTACTTGGGCGTTAGTTTCTCCAGTGAGAGACATGCTGCTGCTAGTGTGGGGCGTAGCGCCTCCAGCCGCGTCTGCAGCGCAGCCCCACCGGGCGCTCTGCCCTCCGCCGCTGATACTAAGCCACGCACCTGTATTACAAAAGTTACATTTACAATTTTTACAATGGTAGATTTACAGTTTTTACAGTCTTATTTATAATTTCAATTAACAAAAAATAAATTTATAATTTTTACAAAGTCGACATTAAATTTCTTACAAAAGTGACATTTACAGTTTTTACAGTCGTATATATAATTTTACAAAGTTACATTTACATTATTTAGATTAAAAGTAAATTGTCTATGGTTAATAGTTTATAGTACAGAGTATATATACCTCATCACAGACATGCATATAATGATAGAGCGCCTTCCCGCCACACTCCCAGCCATTGATTTCATGTCGTTGCGCAGCCTCGCTCATCTTTATCAGTAGAGAACGAATACTTTGAATGTTATCTGAAAATTAATATACATATTACTATTTTATCTATATATATACAACTAGATTTCGCCCGCGACTCTGCCACCGCGGAATTAATAAAAACTTAGTAGTTTATGAGTTCTTTCAGAGTATGTTCTATATGTATGCCAAATTTCATTAAGATCTGTTCAGCTGTTCTTGAGATACCTTCAAAAATCCGTCCTTCCATCCATCCATCCAAACATTTGTGTTTATAATATTAGAATGATTATATAGAGGAAAGATTTGTATTTTTATATGTAACGAAAACTCAAAAACTACTAAACTGATTTCAATAATTCCTTCACCATTTAATAGCTACATTGTCACTGTGTTACATATGCCATATTTATTATTTTTTTTATTATTTTTATTATATCATAAGGTGGCAAACGAGCGAGTGGCCACCTGAAATCGCTGAAATAGCGAAGTGACCGTTGCAAATAGACATACGCAATTGCATATGCGTTGCCTACCTTTAATCCACGGAGGAGAGGATGTACAGAAACAAAATATATTCTCTTTCCATGCATCCTCTCAAATGGAAAGTCTACTTACACTTCCCATTCTTTCCTTTTTATTTATTATTAAAAAAAGTTTTTTTTTTAATTCCACGTGAACGAAATCTTACGTATAAAAGACTCCAAGTGCCTAATCTATTCTTTAAAGCCACCATCGTATGATAAGATTGTACTAAGACACTTAAAAGAAATATGTGGGGGTTAAAACCACCCCTAGAAGTCTTATTTGCCACTCTTATTTATATTTTCAGACATTATTAGTTAGGATCATTTGACTCAAGCGCGCTTTCGTTACAAAGTCAAGTGTCAGATGTAGTGAGGGGACATAAACGTTGATATTTTAGTAAGGCTACTGCGCCAGTACACCGGCACTGTCGGATTTTCTTCTTAACAATAAAAATAATACAAAATTTACCAGATAACACGCAATCAGCCAGTATTTGATCCACCAACACTCTATGCGCTGCATTCCATTGTCTTGCCCCAACTAAATATTCCACTTCTAATTTTGGTTGATGCTAAAATATCATTAAAAATTTTACTAATATTATAAATGCGAATGTTTAGATGTATGTTTGTTAGAAATCTCCAGTTGCATGAATCTTTATGAAATTTGTCATAGATGTAGAACATAGTTTGGAAGAACAAAGCTACAGACCATCGGTGATCCGAGGTTCAAAACCCGTCATATATCAATGTGTATTTACATATGTACATTTATCGTATGTTATGATGAAGGAAAACGTCGTGATGCTGCACATATCTGAGAAAGTCAAATATGTGAAGTCTTGCACTGGACCAGTATTCACTATCACATAGTCTTGAAGATGTATAAGGAGCTGATGATTAGGGTCTTACCTCATATTTGGCTCTATCAGCTTGTGCTAATAATATCCATTCCTTTGGTATTCTCATTTTCTCTAATAGACTTAGTTCAGGTTCCTCATCTCTTCGTCTGATGGGTGCATTCCGGGATAGTACACCACGGATAAGATGACTCCGCCTGTATAATATAAAAATCATCATTTATCTATTCTCTTTCACTAATTAAATTGATTTAAAGTTCTAAATGTAAAAAAAAAACTATATTTCGCACAAATAACGTATTCACGTTGCTGATAAACGAAAAACTAATTACTTAAATTATTTATGTCTGTATGTTTGTATGAATATTTGATCGATTTTTATGGCATATGCACGGGAATTATTTATGACGTTATTTCTGTTGACTATTAAGTTAAATTTTATCTGAATTACTCAAAAGCTAATGATTCACGTGTGTTCCATTTTATAGCCAAAACGAACAAATTTTGACAAGTGAGGTGTCATTCGATTCGTATTCTTCCACTGTGTGTCATAGGAACGCCCCCTCCCCTTTTTTTTATATCATAAGATGGCAAACGAGCGAGCGGTCACCTGAAATCGCTGAAATAGCGAAGTGACCGTTGTAAATAGACATACGCAATTGCATATGCGTTGTCTACCTTTAATCGACGGAGGAAAGGATACACAGAAAGAAAATATTTTCCCTTTCCATGCATCCTCTCATCCGGAAAGTTCACTTCCACTTCCCATCCTTTCCTTATAAGAAAAAGTGTGGGAATAGAAAGAGGACTTAATTAGGTCTCCGACACGCACACTCATCAGACTGTAGTTGGAATTACTTCGCACTTGAGGCGTGTCTTCTGTGTGCTCGTGGTATTTCACTGAGCGAGGACAATTCGTGCAGATATTAAAGCGAACTCTACTTACATCGTAGTATTCTGCAGATAAGCAAGCGCTTGTATAGCCAGTTGCCAATATCCTCGTGCTTCTAACTGTTCTGCGACGCCTTTTATACTGTCCATTGTTGGATGACCCAGCCAAGAACCCAGTAGGAAACTGAAAATATATTACTAATATTATAAATGCGAATGTTTAGATGTATGTTTGTTAGAAGATATCTCCAGAACGACTGCATAGATCTTGCTGAAATTTGTCATAGATGTAGAACATAGTCTGGAAGAACACATAGGGTACTAATGAAGTTTTTTTATAATCTTTTAAGTTCAGAGCCGTAATAAAGTTTGTATTTATTACCTAAGGCTATAATCCATGGTGTCAGCAGTGTAGTTGTGAGGCTGGAGACGAGGGCGACGGGAGAGAGCGCGCGCTCTCACCAGCTCGTATCTCACATCTAGAGGACGACGACTGCTATTCTATGGAAGACCAATATAAATTAACCTATTATCTTACTTCTTACTAATATTATAAATGCGAATTTTTAGATTTATGTTAGAAGATATCTTCGGACCAGCTGCATGGATCTTGATGAAATTTGTCATACATATAGAACATAGTCTGGAAGAACATATAGACTACTTATTCTTTCTTTAATTTCGCGCGGACGGTGTCGCGGGCGACAGCTAGTAATATATATTATGACGTATATATTACTAATATTATAAATGCGAAAATTTTGGGATGGATGTATGGATGGATTACATAAATTCTCACCACATCAAAACTAAATTCATATTCATCAGTGTACGGTGGCTGCGGTACCGCCATACCCATCTCATCCACTTCCAAACTGCCCAGATCCACCTCCTCATCAGAGTTGCTAAAGTAACCCTCGTACGTTCTGATCACTTGCTCCAGATGTGGTACTTGAGGACAGAGGTATCTGCAAAGAAAATCGGTTTCTAATATTATAAATGCGAATGTTTGTATGTATGTTAGAAGGTATCACCAGAACGGCTGTATAGATCTTGCTGAAATTTGTCATACATATAGAACATAGTCTGAAACACATAGACTAGTTATTAAGTTTTTTTATTTCGCGCAGACGGAGTCGCGGACGACAGCTAGTAAGTAATAATTTAAATCATCGGTCGCTATATCCAATGTCGCAAGTGATTTCTAGTATATTAAATATTCAACTGTCTTTACAATTGTATAAGAATATATAACCTACTAGCTGTCGCACGCGACTCCGTCCACGCGGTATTAAAAAAAAAATTAGTCGTGATATATCTATGACAAATTTCATCGAGATGCCTTCTAACAAACATCCATGCATCCAAACATTTATATTACTTATAAAAGTAAGATTGTTTTTAGTTCAAACTATCGTGTTTATAAAAATTAATTCCATTCCATTTTCAATTCACTTTCATATAATTTTCATTAGCTAACTTAGCTTGTCTCCGAGTCTAACGTACATCATCATCAGCTCACTATACATCCCCACTGAGGGCAGATTTTACCCTAAGTGAGAGTATGTGATAGTGAATGCTGGTCCAGTGCAAGACTTCACACATTTGACTTTCTCAGATATGTGCAGCATCACGATGTTTTCCTTCACCGTAACATAAGATAAATGTACATATGTAAAAACACATTGGTACGTCGGGATTCGAACCCAGGACCTGCAGATTGCAAGTCAAGCTTAACCCCTGAGCTACCGACTTACATATTAGTATTAAAAAAAACATTCAAGACACAAACTTCAATATATCAAATATAAAATCAGATAACTAACTTTGCAGTAACATGCAACGCTCTAATCCAGTCCAGCTTCTCCAGTTCACCTCTAGGTCGTATTCCAGCAAGTAATTCCAGTATCGCGTGTCTATAATGAGTTATCACTTGTGTAGCGCCGCATTCACGCCACAGCTGCAACTGCTTTGCTATCAGCGAACGGAAGGATGGGTCACCTGTAAACATATATATAAAAATCAATTGCTGTCTTGGTCGTGGAGGTCTAGGGAAGATTTAAAATGTGAGAAAAATTCTAATAATTGCCGGGAATTAATTAAGTTTCTAATTCCATGCGGACGGAGTCGCGGGCAACAGCAAGTATACTATAAAACTCAAGAAACATAAGCAAGCGTATTTTGTATAAATACCTCAAGGGTCATTTGACCCCAGAGTCAAATAACCATTGACACCAGGGGTCAAGTGACCACTGGTGTATCACCGGTCTTAAAACCTAGTTTCATTAATGCTACATTTCTTCAAATTGTGAACACCCATCATACACGTCTTCTGACCCCCTGGGGTCAAAAGACACCAGGGGGGTCCTAGTTGTACTTACCGCTTGCTTGTGCCAGTATCATCGCCATATGCAGATCTCCGTGTTTTCTCGCCAGTTGACACGCCTCAGCCACTCGTCCGCCCACCAGTAGTGTCCACACGCGGGCACTATGACCGTCGTTCACTGGAAAATGAACTCTGTCATGTACGTAATAAGAACCAAAATAACACTGCTCGTTAGACCAAGTAACAAAGGAATTTTCTAAATGTATATTAATAATTGGAATAGAATATATGGGTAAAATTTTTCCTTTACAATTCGTCGAGTAATCACGTGAGGTACAAAAGAGAGGGGTCTCTAAAGTCACGAATTAGGGGGTCTAAAATAAGTTAATATCACGTGTTTTGATATTCAGACTGTTTAAGTAAATTTAATGAAAAAACAATCATACTAATATTATAAATACGAATGTTTGGATGGATGGATGTATGTTTGAAGATATCTGCAGAACGGCTGCATGGATCTCGATGAAATTTGTCATACATATAGAACATAGTCTGGAAGAACACATAGACTACTAATTAAGTTTTTTTAATACCGAACACGCGACAATGAGTATTTTAAATATAAATCCGTAGGGTATTTAATATACACTGGTTTGAAATGACATTATTCTTATGTTTTTTTAAATAAAAAAAAATATCCTGACATTTACCGTCTAAAGGATCAGGAGATACTGGCATCTTCAATTCTTGTTGAGTTACATCATTAGCCGCGTCTTGTAGCCAGTTTAGAAACTGTTTATATCTATGTACTATAGAAGATACGTCTGTACCGGGAACACCTGAAAAAAAAAAACAAAAAAAAATTTTTTTTTCGTCTATTCATCATCATCAACCTGCCCTTATCCCTACTGAGAGTCAGCACATGTACTCCTCCATATATCAGCCGTCATATCAGAGTCTACCCCCCTTCCTACGCATATCCTCTTTCACACACTCATTCCATACTTTTTTTGGTCTTCCTCTACCCTTGTAGCCATCCACATTCAAATCTCATTACTTTTTTGCTTATATTATCATCCCTCCTCATAACATGTACAAACCACGCTAATCTTTTACTCCTCAATTTCTCTACTGGCGCTACTTTCAAACTTCCTCTAATATCATCATCATCATCAGCTCACTATACGTCCCCACCGAGGGGCTCGGAGCCTACCCTAAGCTAAGGGTGATTAGCTAATATACACATTTTTAATTTTATCCTTTCTTGTCAAATCTCACATCCATCAGATTTTTTCGTCTATTAAATGAAGATAAATTAATCACCTTCCCACCTTTTTCTTATAAGATAAAGATATATAGGAAGGGTAAATATATTTCTATATAAATGCGAATGTTTAGATGTATATTAGAAGATATCTCCAGAACAGCTGCATGAATCTTGATGAAATTTGTCATATATAGAACATAGTCTGGAAGAGCACATAGGATACTAAGTTTTTTTTTAATTCCACAGTTACTGTAAAAACTCACCGCCATTATCTAGATCAGCTCCCCAAAGCGCATCGCATAATTTCCATACTTGTAGTCTATAAGTGTTGCTAACTTCACACTGCAAATACGAAAAAAAGCTATATTCACAATTTTTTATTTTTATACATTTTTGGCACGAACTGACGCTTTCGTTCCAAAGTCAAGTGTCAGATTAGTGAGGGGACATAAACGTTGACATTTTAGTAAGGCTATTGCGCCAGTACACCGGCATTGTCGGATTTTCTTCCTGCCAATATGTTCCACTTTAATGGAAACTGGATAAGCAAGAATCATCGTAAAAGAAAAATTTCTAAAATATCGTAGTCCCTTTTTGTACCTTTGCATGTTCCAAGAACTTAGCCAACAGTCTCCGTCTCGTCTCCGGTTGAGTGGAGAGCTCGAGGCGCGGACATCCGCCCTCCTCGACGTCCACAGCACGACTGAGCTCTAGTAAACTCTCCATTTGTCGCGGCAGCGCCTCCTGGTGGAAAAATTTACAAATATAGGTTTTTTTTATATCATAAGGTGGTAAACGAGCGACCGGCCACCTAAATTCGCCGAAGTAGCGATCTACTGCCCATAGACATAAGCATCCTTTTCTTTATAAGGAAAGGATGGGACGTGGAAGTGGACTTTCCGGATGAGAGGATGCATGGAAAGGGAATATAATTCTTTCTGTGCATCCTCTCCTCCGTGGATTAAAGGTAGGCAACGCATATGCGTACATACGCAACACTTCGCTATTTCACTTCGCCATTTCAGCGAATTCAGGTGACCGCTCGCTCGTTTGCCACCTTATGATATTAAAAAAAAGTTCAAATATAACAAAGTATTTAAATTCGTCAATAAATGAAACTAGATGGCGCCACATACCTCTGTATAAGAAGAGTCGCGTCCTATAGCCAGTCTTGTAACAACAGATTCACTCCAGTCATTGTCACTGCGACCGACCACATAATTACCTAATTCCGTCCATTCAGTTACTGAAAAAAAAAATATACCAATTGCATATCTTATAATGTACAACTAGCGGTTGCACGCGACTCCGTGTGCACGGGATAAAAAAAAACATAATAAGTATCCTATCTGTTCTTCCTATGTTCTATATGTATGTCAAATTTCATCGAGATCCGTTGAGTCGTTTTGGAGATACCTTCAAACATCCATCCATCCATCCAAATATTCGTATTTATAATATTATAAGTAAAATTTGATACTACGCGCACTTTACATATATTGAACTTGTCTTTGAGCTCTTCACAAAGTTATGTAATGAAGAAGCCGATTTAAAAACGATTTAAAAGCCAGGATTTTTATATTCTCGGTTGGACTATATCAAGTCAAATCGTAAGTTTCAGTGGAATTCTTCTATAACAAGACATCTCAAGGTATACCCAAAGGGGTAGGCAGAGTACGAATGCACGAAGCGATCACAGGTGCTTATAGTTCCTTTTTTTAAATTCAAAACATGTCAAGTGAGCACCACCTGAATTCGCCAAAATAGCGAACCACAGCACCTAGACATTCGCAATTGCAGATGCGACGGAAAATAAGTACAGAAAGGGGATATTTTCCCTTCCTATGCGTTCCTCTATCAAATCCACTTCCCCTTTATAATAAGAGTGGGAAGCAGAAAGAGAAGTAAAATGAGTTCTCCGACACTCATCAGAGAGTAGTAATGAGTTGTAACTCGAGGCGTGTTAGATCTAAAATCTCTATAAAATTCTATCTAGATTTATATCTACTTACATTTAGGTAGATTAGACATTGCATCGTATGTAGTGACGTAAGCCAGCGTATTCCTAGGTCCAAAACCGACACGTGAATGACGCGCTCGGCTAACTGATAGGTCTGCGAGACATGATGCACCAAGACGACCTGTGGATACAAAGAACATTAATGATTTCTATACAAGGATAGGCTATAAGTAGGAATATTTTGTGCCTATTTGATATTTTAGTTGCATTGGAAACTCTAATACAGATAGAATAAAATTTCAGTAATATAAATTAAGAGCATCAGTGGCTTAGTGGTTAAGTACTTGACATGTCTGTAGGTCCTGTATTCGAATCCCGACATGCACCAACCTGTCTTCTTTGTGGTCGTGGTATTCCACCGGGTTAGGCCTATTCTTGCGAAGATGTTAAAGCGGTCTCTACTACTGTTACATTACTGCTAGGTCTTGACCTATTATTTAGAAACTATTACTAGGTCATTAAGTATTATAATCCAAACTATTGTTGGCTCGCAAATTAAGCATTTAACTTGTCTGCAGTTCTTAGGTTCGAATCCCGACATATCAATGTGTTTTTACATATGTACATTTATCTTATGTTACGTTGAAGGAAAACATCGTGATGCTGCACATATCAGATAGTTAAATATATGTGTGAAGTCTTGCACTGGACCAGCATTCACTATCACATACTCTCACTTAGGGTACACTCTACCCTCAGTGGGGATTTAGAGTTGATTATGAATGTCTTTATTATTATTATAAAATACCTGCAATAGTTTTCTTAAATGGTGGAATCTTTCTATGAAATTTCAACACGATGCTTTGAGGTCGTACTATCAAAGGTCTCATTATGGCTTCTGAAAAAAAAACACAAGATATAGTACTAACAATCACGACTCCATCGGTAAAAAATTAAAAAAAAACTAAGGAGTCTATGTATTCTTCCAGAATATGTTCTACATCCTCCTGCGTCCGTCCTGCGTCGGTGGCTCATTGGTCAAGCACTTGACTTGCAATCTGCATGTCCTGGGTTCGAATCCCGACGTACCAATGTATTTTTCCATTACAGATTTTCATATGTACATTTATCTTATGTTACGGTGAAGGAAAACATCGTGATGCTGCACATATCTGAGAAAGTCAAAGATATGTATGAAGTCAACCCGCACTTGACCAGCGTGGTTGACTATGGCCAAATCACCCTTAACTTAGGGTAGGCTCCGAGCCACTCAGTGGGGATGTATAGCTGATGATGATGTTCTACATCTATGAAAAATTTCATCAAGATCCATGCAGTAGTCTGAAGATACCTTCTAACATACATCCATACATCCAAATTTATAATATTAGTAAGTTACTTGGACACACAAAAAAGACAGCTAACAAGGATTTTGTGATATAGGGGGCGTTAGTGAGCTTAGTTCATCAGTCATACCTTCAGTAGGTACAGTCGGTTGGCTGATAATGGGCAGTTCATCACGCGAAGGTTGCTGCGTGATCGAAGGTAGGGACATCACAAGACCACCTCCTAATGGTACCAGCTGATCTTCTGTAGTTTGAGACATATCATCATCGATGTCACCTGAAATAAAAAGTTCTAGAACTATTGACTCTACACCTATTTATTTATTCTTTCAAGTTTTCTGTATTATACATTCATAGATTGAATTTTATTTTACTAGCAAATTTTTTTTATTTGATACCCATATTGGCTATCTTTTTTATATATCACAAGATGGCAAAAGAGCTAGCGGTCACCTGAAATCGCTGAAATAGCGAAGTGATCGTTGTAAATAGACATACGCAATTGCTTATGCGTTGCCTACCTTTAATCCACGGAGGAGAGGATGCACACAAAGAAAATATAGTCCCTTTCCATGCATCCTCTCATCCGAAAAATCCACTTCCACTTCCCATAGTTTTCTTACAAGAAAATGGGTAGGAAGGTAAAGAGGACTAAATTAGGCCTCCGGGACCCACACTCATCATACGAAAGGCAGAATTGCTTCCACTTGACGCCTGTCTTCTGTGTGGTCGTGGTATTTCACTGAGCGAGCCGGGACAATTGTGTGTTAAAGCGGGCTCTACCACTGTTAAATATATCTATTAGTCAATCCAAATTTGAACATTAATAGGGAGAAGAGCTGAAAGCTTGAGATGAGTGGCGTTTTAGTATGTCTAAATAAATAAAAACTACCCACCAATATCAGCGTACAATGAAGCCTTCATAAGTTGCACATTGTGACTACCCCGATGTTCTAGTTTCGCCAATTCACTTGTAGGACTTTTCACTCCGAATGCTGTTAAAAAAAAACATAAATAATAACAAAAAAAAAATCTAATACGATACTTCGATAAAAAATACCACCCCCAATTTCAACCCCTTACAATCCTTTTTTAGCCTATATTCTTCCCCAGGCTCTAGACTATCTGTATACCAAATTTCATTTGAATCGGTTCAGTAGTTTTGACGTGATAGCGTCACAAACAAACAGACAGAGTTACTTTGGTATTTATAAAATTACTTAACTAAGTTAAATTACTTAATTAAGTATTTACCTAAACTATCCGGATATAAAGACGGCACCTCTGTACAGTCCTCGGTTGTATCCATTTCGAATGCTGAAAAAAGGTCACATTAAAAAAAAAAGACATTCAAATAACTTAATCTAAATAAAAAAAAACAACAGACGTAAATAAAGACTAGCTGTCGCCCGCGACTCAGTGCGCGCGGAATTAAAAAAAAACTATAGGTCGCAGCGTAATGTTATATAGCCTAAAGTCTTCCTCTATAAATGTACTATCCAACAAAAAAATATTTTTCAAATCGGACCAGTAGTTCCTGAGATTAGAGCCTTTGAACAAACAAACTCTTCCGCTTTATAATATTAGTATAGATTAAAAAAAAACTTAATAAAAAATAATTACTACCTATCGCCCGTGACTCCGTCTGCGCGAAATTAAAATTTTGCCCAACTCACAGGAGGGCAATATTTTTCCACTTTCAAGAGCCTAAATAATATCTTACTAATATTATAAATGCGAATGTTTAGATGTATGTTTGTTATAAGATATCTCCAGAACAGCAGCATGGATCTTGATGAAATTTGTCATAGATGTAGAACATAGTCTGGAAGAACACATACACTGCTAAGTTTTTTTTAAATACACACAGACAGTGTCGGGGACGACAGCTAGTTAAATCAATAAGAACCATACCTTTTTCAGTTCCATTTAGTAGATCAAGAGAAGATCGTTGTAAGAACATATCCTCTTGAGAACTGGTACCTGGCAGCGTGGAAAGACCACCTAAGCCCACGGGACTGCCAACACCGCCAAGGCCACCAAGACCTCCAACTCCTCCAAGACCACCAAGACCCCCAACTCCTCCAAGACCACCAAGACCTCCAACTCCTCCGAGACCTCCAAGTCCTGCCGGCTGAACAGCAACTGGCTGTTTTGGTGCTGGAAATAATACAATGAATTCAGAAGTCGTGTAGTCTTTGAGTCAAATAGTTGTAACTGACGTTCAGTTTTAACTGAACAGTCCAATTGTACAGAAAAAACTGCGTGTATATTCATAATTTCAAGTATAGTGACTGACAATTAAAATGTTGCCTACACACGCAAAATTTTAACTGTTCAGTTAAAACTGAACGACGTAAGTATTTTTCTCTCTCCTTAACAATAACCTTCTAGAAGTATAAAGAAGTTGACTTTACCAGCAGCAGCTGTCTTCTGCAACGTTTGATTCACCAGCTGGCGCTTCAACACATCCGGAGTCGGTTCATCTTCTTCATCAGAGTCCGTCAGACCGTACTTACTGAAGTGTTCCACCTGGAAGATTGAAAGAATGCCGGTTATAATGACATTGAAGGGACAGGGCGTAATAACAGAAACATATTTATATGGATATATGTATGGATGATAAGTAACACTTAACTCCGATATACCTGAATAGATCTGGATGGAATTTAGAACAGAAATAGATTACAGTCTTCTTCTAAATGTTCAGTCGAAGAGAGAGTCCAAGGGACTGCGATTCTCGCTTATAGAGGTTTCTTTCGAACCAGGGTTTCTCGATTGCAGAAGTTTCTCTCTAACCCGAGTTTCTCGCTTATAGAGGTTTCTCTCTATCCCGAGTTTCTCGCTTATAGAGGTTTCTCTCTCTAATTCGTGTTTCTCGCTTACAGAGGTTTCTCTCTATCCCGAGTTTCTCGCTTATAGAGGTTTCTCTCTCTAATTCGTGTTTCTCGCTTACAGAGGTTTCTCTCTATCCCGAGTTTCTCGCTTATAGAGGTTTCTCTCTCTAACTCGTGTTTCTCGCTTATAGAGGTTTTTCTCTCTAACTCGTGTTTCTCGCTTATAGAGGTTTCTCTCTCTTACTCGTGTTTCTCGCTTATAGAGGTTTTTCTCTCTTACTTGTGTTTCTCGCTTATAGAGGTTTCTCTCTAACCCGAGGTTCTCGCTTATAGAGGTTTCTCTCTAACCAGTTTCTCAGAACTACTGACTCGGAAAGATAATTTTTCATGATCCATACCTAAACTGAACAGATTTTGACAAGTGAGGTATCATTCTATTCGTATTCTTCTTCTGAGTGTCATAGATATAGTCAGTCGTGTTTGTTTGGTCGTTTAGTTAACAAATAGTGTTGTTAATACTTACTTGGAACACCCAACTGCCAGTCTGTGGTCTGTACTCAATGAACTTTGTCTCATGTTTCTCGCAGACGCGTCTCAATTTGCCTTCGTAATCCATTTTCATGAGCCTGTTGGTATTTTGTTATTGCTAAATTAAATATAATATTATAAATGCGAATGTTTAGATGTTTGTTTGTTAGAAGGTATCTCCAGAATGCCTGAATGTATCTCGATGAAATTTGTTATACATATAGAACATAGTCTGGAAGAACACATAGACTACTAATTATGTTTTTTTTAAATTCTGTGTGGACGGAGTCGCGGGCGACAGCTAGTTAAAAATAAATAAAAAATAAAGCAAATATTTTTAATATTGCAGACATGATAATCCTCTTTCTTTTCTTTACATTGATAAACCTCTTTCCCTATCTTATAAGAAAAGGATGGGAAGGGGAAATGAATTTGTCGGAGGAGGAGACTTCTGTGTCATGAACATGTACAATTGTGGATGATTATGGGCAGTAGTCCCTACAGCGTCAGTGTCTCAGTGGGTAAGCAGTTGACTTGTCTGCAGGTCCTAGGTTCGAATCTCGTCATGTACCAACATGTTTTTTCATATGTACATTTATCGTATGTTATGATGAAGGAAAACATCGTGATGCTGCACATATCTGAGAAAGTCAAATGTGTGAAGTCATACACTGGACCAGCATTCACTATCACATACTCTCACTTAGGGTAGGTTCAGAGACACAGTGGGGATGTATAGTGAGCTGAAATCGGGAGGGCGCTAGTCTGTCACCTCACCTGTCAGGGTCCACGATAAGTCGCCTCTGTGTCTTGTCTCGCGGCCACACGCGGTCCAATGTGACGACAGCTTTGCGATTCAAAGCCTGACCGATTGGTGGCTTGTTTTCATCTTCAGGGTATATGATTACTTCTTTGTTCAAAAAGTGTACTGAAAAATATAAAATAATCTATTAAGAAAACGAGTTACGAGTAATCTATAAAATGAATTGACCGATTTCTAACTGGAAAGTAGCCGATGATTTTTTTTACCACGCTGTCAAATTTGCGGCAAACCGCTAGTTAAAGAGAAATAAATCTGATGGATCTAAATAGCCACACTAAAAGTCGCAATAGTGGAAAAAGGGTCTAAGTTAAGAGACCAAAGGCGTCACTTTGGTCCCCTTTCTCTTCACCTTTTCATATAAGGAAAAGATATGAAGGGGCAGTTGTTTTTACGAAGAGGCGCATAGGAATGGGATCTTTTTTCTGTCCCCTCTTACAATCGCGGATGTCTATGGCTAATGGATTCGCTATTTAGGCGAACTTTAGGTAAATAAAAAAAAACTTACCCAACGTATCCAAATCAAGATTAGCAACGTCCATTTCACAATCATAAAATACTTTGCCGTAATTCTTACGTCCTATTGTAAAATTTGGTACAACGCAAGATCCATCCGGACGTATGTAATCTGTCAAATAGAACGAATCATAATTAACTGAATGAAAACAACGATATCCGACTCGAAGGACCAATTTTTAGTACACAGTTACAATTGAACTGTTTTGGAATATATTTCTTCAAATTGTTTATAGTATGATATAACTAACGCTTGAACACCAATGGGGTAGACAGAGAATACGACTTCAATTTGTTTTAACACTTTCAATGGCCACTCGTCAGGCCATATCACTTTTGTACAACATCATAGTGGCATGGAATGTGTTAGATGTATGTCAGAAGATATCTTCAGAACAGCTGAACGAATCTTGCTAAAATTTGGTATAATAACAAAATCTCGGTTAAAACTAGTAATATTATTTACTAGTAAGTTTTTTTTTGTTTCGCAGGAACAAAGACCCGTGCAAAAGTTAGTACTAGATTTACCTTTCAAATCTTCTAGAGATGGTATAGTATAGTAGCCTGGTCGCTGCAGTTTGATGCCGGCTGGATGAGGAGGTGCCTCCTGTTCTATTAGATTCTCTTCTTCTGATACTGTTGAAAAGTATTAAGTAAGTTAATCTTACTGATATTATAAATGCGAATGTTTAGATGTATGTTTGTTAGAAGGTATATCCAGAACGACTCAACAGCTCTTGATGAAATTTGGTATATATGTAAAACATAGTCTGGAAGAACACATAGACTACTAATTGTTTTTATTTTACGCGATCGGAGTTGCGGGCAGCAACTAGTAATATTATAAATGCGAATATTAGAGCGTATGGATGGACATAATTTGGCATAGATGTAGAACACTTAATCAAATATCATATAATTTTTACTGTTTTCAGGGTTCCGTACCTCGAAAGGAAAAAAACTGGAACCCTTATAGGATCACTTTGTTGTCCTTCCGTCTGTCAAGACCCTTTTTTAAAATTCCTCTAAGACAAAATCACGGGCAAAACATACATAATTTAGTGAACGAATGAAAATGGATAAAATAATCTACAAACAAAATGTACATAACAATATACACCTACTTTCTTTATTTTTAATTCTAACCAGAAAAGATTGAATGAACGATTGAATGATTGAACGAATGAATGATAACATACACATAAATACAGTAATCCTTTTAACATACACCTACTTAAACATACCTTTCTCAATATCTATTAAAAAATCGTTCAATGAACGAATGAATGAATGATTGAATGAACTAAAAGGTAACCGTATAATCCAGCAATTTGCTTTGCGAGTGTCTCGCAGCGGGAACATCCTGGCTCCTGCCCCCAGCGGTGGCAGCAGAAGATGAACAGCTCACCCGGTGAACATTCTAGCAGGGGAAAGAAGGATCAAGAAGGAAAGAGATGTAGGAAAGGAATGCTAGGGAAATTGGTATTTATGAAACAATTTTTACCTGTTTGATAAACTGACTTTGACTCATTCAAAGACATACATCCATGTAATTATTTACGTATTACATTTATTGTATGAAAATGTATGGAATAATATAATATGAATTGAGAAAGGTATGTTTATTAGACCTCTTTGCGTCACATTTACTCCGTTTCATGCAAACCCAATTAATTTTACAATCTTAATTATAAAACATTGATAAAAGATATTAATTTGTGCTGCCACTTTGTCGGTTGCCCACTTTTTGCCCACACTTCTTAACTAATGTTGCCCACACTTGGACTAGCGTTTCCCACACTTGTTAATGTTGCCCACATTTTTCCCACTTACCAGAACTATAATCCACATCTTCCTTTTGTTGCCCACACTTTGCCCACTATCTCACAAGTTGCCCACTAATGCACTTACCAGAACTAGAGTCGATATTCTCTTTGTCCAAGGACCTCTGCGGGCGCACAGCTAACTCTCGTACAGAATTCTCCGCAGCTTCTGAATTGGAAGCCAATGGCTTGCGTAATGGCTTAGTTGTCAACCTGTTGACGAAATATGTTGTTAAACAAGTCGATAGAATATCACGAATTTAGCTTAAAACTATCTAAATTATCTATTAAAGCTTAATTCTATCTGCAAAGGCTAATGTATATGGGTAGCGGTCACTTCGCTATTTCGGCGAATTCAAGTGGATCCTCGTTTAAAAAAAACAAAAAATTGAAATAAATGAAAAAAATTTACTTACCAACTGGCACGCCTTTCAGACACTTCAGGCATATCTTTATCTAGAAAAGAAAATAAATTAAATTCACATATTATAATCAAAAATATCTGACTTAGTGAGAGGCGCTGCTGTCGCGGTTGGTTCTGTCAGAATATACATATAGAACCTACTTAGACGTAGAAAATTAATTAGAAAATAAAGAAATTGACAGACAGACGCACAACAAAGAGGTCCTATAAGCTTTCTTTTCATTCGAAGTACGGAACCGTAAAAATGACATGACAGCTACAATACAATGAGGATTAATGACATTTTTGGCAGTTTGCTGGGGGGCGCTAGTGAGCTGTCATTTAGTTTGACTTACGGCCACCGAGTCAGATACTCATCTCTTTCTCTCATCAATTATCACTGTGGTGGTCTTCTACGATTTTTTCTTTAAATATTAGCAGTTTTTTTGTTAATTTACTAATATTTCTTGTCTCTAAGTTCTAGGATTGTATTATGGTTTAAATAGTCCAATGACGTGATTCGAACTGACGACTACATAATCTGAAATCCGTACTCTTAATCATTATACCAAATGTAACTTGTCATAACTTACCCAAGTTGGGATACAGTCTTGGAGTTTCAGCACCATCAGCTGGCTTTTCTTTCTCAGCCCACGACACTTTACTACCACTTAGCCTGAAGATAATAAAAATAAGAAAATTGTAAAGAATAGTAAAAAATTCAACAGTGGTAGAGCCCGCTTTAACATCTTCGCACGAATCGGCCTCTTCTGATGCAATACCACGACCACACAGAAGACACGCCTCCGAAAGGATGGGAAGTCGGACTTTCCTGATGAGAGGATGCATGGAAAGGGAAAATATTTTCTTTCTGTGCATCCTCTCCTCCGTCGATTAAAGGTAGACAACGCATATGTAATTGTGTATGTCTATTTACAACGATCACTTCGCTATTTCAGCGATTTCAGGTGACCGCTCGCTCGTTTGACACATTATGATATAAAAAAAATTATAAAGAAATTAAATCACTTTGTACACAACTTAAATCTTCGAAACTCGATGATTTCAGTCGCTAAGCGACTTAACGTCGCCGACATTTCCAACACATAAGACAGTCGCTCGCAACCTGTTTGTCAAGGTAGTAGTTAGTAAAGTCGCTGCTTTCAAGATGTTAGAACATTTACAGTAGACATGCAGCTATGTGTGTACTGGCAGAATAAGATATTCGCTTCGATATGACTAAATCTTAAAAGATTACGTTAGCTGCCATGTCGGACTATATGTCCGACAAGCTTCCATTTCATCATCATCATCATCAGCTCACTATACGTCCCCACTGAGGGGCTCGAAGCCTACCCTAAGTTAAAGGTGATTAGGCCATAGTCAAATGCTGGCCAAGTGCGGGTTGACTTCACACACATCTTTGACTTTCTCAGATATGTGCAGCATCACGATGTTTTCCTTCACCGTATTCAGCTTCAATTTATATGTAAATAATAAGTATATCATCATCAACCTGCCCTTATTCCTATCGAGGGTCGGCACAGTATGTACTACTCCTCCATACATCTCTATCAGCCGTCATATCCGAGTCTACCCCCTTCTTACGCATATCCTCTTTCACACAGTCATTCCATACTTTTTTGGTCTTCCCCTACCTTTGTAGCCATCTACATTCAATCTCATTACTTTTTTGAGTATATCATCATCATCCCTCCTCATAACATGTCCAAACCAAACTAATCTTTTACTCCTCAATTTCTCGATAAATAATAAGTATATGAGCAATGTAAATAAGGTATTACTATATTTTTAGGTATTTTCAAATTGGTTTTGGACAAAATTTAAAAAAAAAAAATTTTTTTTTTCGTTTTTCGAAAAATCATACCGGCAGCTAACGTGTTAATAAAAATTATATCTCACCAATTCGTGTGTTTTTCAGCGTTCATTTCAGTATCTGGAAAAAATATGTTCTAATTAAGACATATAAATAATTATTACAAAATATTGGATTTGTATTCTCATTTATCAAAGTTCAACTTTATTCCTGACTTTATGTTAATACTAGGAGTCGACCGAGACTCCGTTCGCGCGGTATTAAAAAAAAAACTAGAACCTATGTTATTCTATGTTCTATCATCGAGATCTGTCCAACCGTTCTGGTGATAACTACAAAAAAATATCCATACATCCAAACATTCGCATTTATAATATTAGTAAGAAGTTAGATAAATCATAAACAAACTTCTTTATATCAAAAAATCTTAACAATCACAGCATATTTTTGAATAATTCTTTTTGTTATAAAAAGCTCTATACTTATAACACGCTGTAGATTATATATTTTCACGCTATTACAATTAGGGGGTGAGTAAATTGAAAAAAATCGCTATGAGAGAAAAGCTCAAAAATTGCAGGCCAATAGCATCAAAGATGGTTGCCATTGTAACGATAATTCGTAGTAAATGGCGAACCGATTCATTTAGCTTCATAAAGCCGTTATGGAGATATCTTCTAACAAACATTCGCTTTTAAATTAGTAAGAAGTAAGATAATAAAAAAAACTTCTTTATATCAAAAAATCTTAGCAATCACAGCATATTTTTGAATGATTCTTTTTCTTATAAAAAGCTCTATACTTAAGACACGCTGTTGGCTATATATTTTCACGCTATTACAATTAGGGGGTGAGTAAATTGAACAAGTATGTTATAAGAGAAAGGGACAAATTGCAAGCCAGTAAGCAAAGATGGTTGCCATGGTAACGGTAATTTTCAGCCAATGACGAAGGCCTAATTTCATTTAGACTTATGCAGTCGTTCTGGAGATATATTCTAACAAACATACATACAAACATTCGCATTTATAATATTAGTAAGATGTACATACTGTTAACATCATTCCTCTGTTCTGAGGTAGAAGGAGGACCGTCGTGTGCGTCTCGCGCTGCGCTCTCCGCAACCATTGTCTCCGCGCGAGATGTTTCTTCCAATGATCTGTAGAAAACAATTAAAAAAAACTTAATTAGTAACCTATGTGTTCTTCCAGACTATGTTCTAAATGACAAACTAGCAGACGCCTGCGACTCCGTCTGTGCGGATTTAAGAAATTTAATAAATTGCCTAAATGTTCTTCCAGATTATGACAAATTTCATCGAGATCGGTTCAGCCGTTCTGGATAACATCTAAATAGATAACTTCTAACATATTTTCTTATTTTACTAATATTATAAATGCGAATGTTTACAGCTTAAGAGATTTTGATGAAATTTGTCATACATATAGAACATAGTCTGGAAGAACACATCGGCTACTAACTTTTTAAATATATTTTTTTCTGAAATTTCGACGAATGGGCGAAGTTACTCACCTATTAATACTATCAATAGTATTCTCCGCATTGCTTGCGTCATTTCTTGTCGCATTAGGTCTCAGTACTAAACGCTTACGACTCGGTTTCAAAGATAATTTATCCTCCAAACTCGGGTCTGATTCTTCTAAGCCGTCGAACAATGATTTCTGTGAAAAAAAAAATAATATATTAAACAAAAAGTTTACATTATGTAATTGGACCTCTTTACATACATTTTTTACTCATATTTTTATATTTTTAAATTTAGAACATTTTAAGTTTTTCTTCTTTTTTATTATTCAAAAATTTGTAATCGTTTCTTTTCTGTATACATTTCGTTACAAGAAAGAGATGGAAGATAGTAAAGTGGTTGGAGCGAAAGAGCACGATATATACCAGAGAGATACGACTTTACCTCGTTTCAATCAAACAACAAAACTGTAGGTTTGAGTCCAAATTATTAGTTTAATACATGTTGATATCTCTGTTTGGTCAAAGATGAAAGACAAGGATGACGATATATATACATACAGACATTTTAATATCGAAGACCCACGGTAAGTTGATAAAGTCAAAGATATGTGTGAAGTCAACCCGCACAGGACCAGCATTCACTATCACATAGTCTCACTTAGTGGGGATTTTTTTTGTGACTGAGTAGTCACTGTTTGTCTTGAAGAGGCATTTACATCTTCACCGGGCTTGAGGTGTGCGAGCGCAGATGGCGCTTAGCCTGAACCTCGTTTAAGAGTAACAAGACTCGAGGGCCCCCTCAGGAATCTCGGCTCGGGCTGTTACTTCGTTATAGTTACCGGATTGGGAGGTCATCGAGCTCTTAGATCGCTTAGGTGGACGCTCCATGGAGTGACTGGTCTCAAGGACCTCGACTTTAACTGTCACTCATTACGCGTTTAGCATTCCGATTCAAGAGTGCCCGAGAGGAACGAACCTCGGCTTGATCGGTTGCTATTATCTGATTGTTAGTGGGGATTTAGAGCTGATTTGTACGTACCTTATCATGAGGTATAGTAGGTCTGGGTATAACCCTTAGACGGCCGGATGTGGGCGAGGCGACTTTGTAAGCTGTGTCCAAAGCGGCCTTCAATGCTGCTGGATTGGTTGGCTTAAGTGCTTCTTCCGCTGATGCACCTGTACATTAAACCATGATTCCACTAATATGTTGATATATATCACAGTTATGATATTAGAAATTATATCGTAGTTAATAATGATCAGAGTCGCATCAGTGGAAATGGACTCTTAAAATATATATCGTAGATTTCCGATCGGTTTGTTATTGCACACCGGCGCGGGCGCTGTCTCTACACCAAGTCTACCGCTTGTCAAACGAGCTCGCGTACTACTGACAGATAGTGACACTGACAGACGTCAATCATGTACCTTACAACCAATGTTGCCATTCGAGCAAAATAATTAACTCCGACATATATTAACAAATTTTAAGTTTTTTTATATTTATATTTTTTTATCAGTAAAATTTTAATAAATCTTACTAATATTATAAATGCGAATGTTTAGATGTATGTTTGTTAGAAGATATCTCCAGAACGACTGCATGGATCTCGATGAAATTTGTCATACATATAGAACATAGTCTGGAAGAACATATAAGCAACTAATAAAGTTTTTTTTTTAATTTGAATATTATCAAAAGACAATTCCAATTTAATAAAAAATTATAATATATTAATTTTTAACTAACACGTCGTGTAACCATGAAATTCTACTATAAAAAATCTAATAATAATATATATACTAGATGTCGCCCGCGACTCCGTCCGCGCGGGTTAAAAAACATAAGAAGAAGCCTATAAGTTCTTCCAGACCATGTTTTAAACATATGCCAAATTCCATCGAGATCCATACAACCATTCTAGAGATACCTTCAAAGATCCATCCATCTAAATATTCACATTTATAATATACTAATTGTCGCCCGTGACTCATTAAGCGCGGTATTGAAAAAAAGCTTAACTAGTTGTCTATGTGTTCTCTCAGGCTATGTTCGATATGTATCCCAAATTTCATAGAAATCCATTCAGCCGTTCCGGAGATATCTACAAACAAACATCCATCCATCCAAACATTCACATTTATAATATTAGTAAGACAGACGAAGCATGCTGCATCAATATAAACCTAAATATATATATATAAAAAAAACTCACCAGAATCAGGCAGTAAGTCCTTAAACAGCGGAGAATCACCATAAGGTCGAGCAGCTAGGGTCAATATCTGCTCATGTACTCCACTACCAGCTGCACTCCCGCCCCTATATGTATTACATTAAATTATTCAAACTTTCGTGAGACATTATACTAAACTGATATAAACACAGCTAAACACTGACGTATATTCGTCCGGTGGCGGCACCGACTAGTTTCGAGCCCATCGGGGACCCTTCATCAGGATGAGTGGTACTGGTATTATTTCGTACTTGGTATTATTTCAGTGAGCTGAGGGCCGCGTCCGCGAAATAATACCAGTAGCACTCATCCTGATGAAGGACCCCCGATGACTTCGAAACTAGTAGGTGCCGCCACCGGACGAATATACGTCAGTGTTTAGCCGTGTTTATATATCAGTCCATTACAATACATAAAATTTCCTGCAAATTCCTAAGTATAAGGATAAAATAAATCAAGACATAAAAAATGGCGTCGCATTTGACACCCAATTTAAAGGCAGCCAACTTCAGAGAGCGCTCTTGATAATGCAATCAGATAGCAACCGATCAAGCCGAGGTCACCTCTCGGGCACCCTTGAGCCGCATCACTCCATGGAGCGTCCACCAAAGCTACCTAAGAGCTCGGCGACCTTCCAATCCATACTTACATACATAAATAACAATTTTCAATATAAATAATTAATTCTCTACGAACAAAGTCAAGGGCAATGTTTAGTATATTAAACAGTCGTCTCTGGATAAGCGAGATTACATGGAAGCACGATATTTATCTCATGTTTAGAGGTTTCTCGTTTATAGAAGATTCTCGCTTATAGTTTCTCGTTTATGGAAGATTCTCGCTTATAGTTTCTCGTTTATAGAAGATTCTCGCTTATAGTTTCTCGTTTATAGAAGATTCTCGCTTATAGTTTCTCGTTTATAGAAGATTCTCGCTTATAGTTTCTCGTTTATAGAAGATTCTCACTTTTAGTTTCTCGTTTATAGAAGATTCTCGCTTTTAGTTTCTCGTTTATAGAA